CAAAATGCCCAAGCACTCGCATGTAATCTTTGGAGGGAAAACTTCACCTTATTTGAGTTAGATGAAGTAATGCGACAAAAGGATGATTTAGAATTCGCACAGCTTTTAAACCATCTTCGTCACAATGTGATGACTTCTGAGGACTTGGATATAATTCACGAGTGCATCATTGCTGAAAATAGTCCAAATTATCCACACAATGCTCCCCATCTTTTCACAATGAATGCAAAAGTAGATGAATATAACAATAAACTTATAAAGCAACTTCCTGGTGAAAAAGTCATTGTAAAAGCTGTTGACAGTGTCCTCCAAGACCACAGTAAGTCTGTGAAAGAACGACTACTCAGATCATTGCAAAATCAAGATGATGTAAGCAAAACTGCAAACCTCATGACAAGACTAACTCTAGCCATTGGAATGATATATGACATTACAGTTAATATTGATGTTACTGATGGCTTGACAAATGGTTCATCATGTACTGTATTTCTTGTTGAAAACAGATTACCTGGTGTAACAAGGCCAAGTATAGTGTGGGTGAAGTTTTTAGATACTGCAGTAGGGAGAATTGCTCGACAGAAATACAGACATCTTTTCCATGATGATGTTATGGATGATTGGACACCAATATTTGACTGTCAGCGATCTTTTGTTTTCAATTCAACTACATATCAAAGAATACAGTTTCCTTTAAGACCAGCTGCTGGTAAGACAATTCATAAGGCTCAGGGCTGCACTGTTGATGAAATTGTAGTAGATTTGTCTCAGTCAAAGATAAGGAAAACACCCCATATTCATTATGTAGCTCTTAGTAGAGTTAGATCTGTTGACAAGTTGCACATTCTGAATTTCAATGAGCAAGCATTAACTGTTGATGAAAAAGTTGTAGAAGAAATGGAAAGAATGAGGAAGGAAGCACCTCTAAAACTGTGTTATCTTCCATTGTACAAAATAGAGCAGAACAAACTAAAAATTATGTTTAATAATGCAAGATCTCTTCACAAACATTTCGATGAAATTAAAAATGAACCCAATGTTGTAGCATCAGATGTTATTGGTTTTTCAGAATCAAGATTAACCATCAATGATGAACAGGATTTCATGATGGAAGGTTACTTGACTTTGTTTAATCATGAAAAGAGAAGTAACAGCAATCGTCCTCATCATGGAACAGCATTATACGTTAAACAAGACCATATGATGACATGTATCTCAAAATTCAGCAACACTTTGCTTGAATTCATCATAGCTTCAATAAATTTCAGAGACCTTGGAGAAGTGCAGATAGTTGTTTTATACAAGTTCCCAGCATGTTCTTTTAAAGAATTTGAACGTGAAGTTATGTTGCACTTAAAACCTTTTGTAGACACGGAGAAAAAATTGATAATTCTTGGAGATTTCAATTTTGATTTGTTTACAGGTCACAAAGAATTTCTTAACTTTATGAAGTTGAATTTAAAGTGCACACAAATTGTACAAAAAGTAACTCATGATTCAGGTTCACAACTTGATTTGATTTTCACAAACTTCCCTCATTGTGAAACTGATGTGATTGAGGCATATTGGTCTGACCATAAAATGGTTTACTGTACATATACTTTATAAGTATGATAAAAGGGACGCAAGAGTATTTATTTGGGGGAGATATGTCATCTTGTCCCCTCTCCCACCTACCAATGTTCCAGTGTCACTTAGTGACATTTGGTACATTGATTACTGTATACAGGGTAATATTCACCCTGGAAGTGTATTTTCACCCTTTCACACTATTTTGAAATGTTTTAAATTCTCCCAAGTCAAAGTTTTATTGAAGAAATCATTCTGTGTTCTTTTAATTTACCCCGTTTTAAATTTGTCTACTTCTAAGATGGACGACAGGGGGAAAAATAAAATGGGTTGAATATTTCCCTGTATACAGTATCTTATAGGCACCAATTACTTGATGTAAAATTTTGTTTGTTTTTAGGCATATGTATACTTTAAACTGTTTTTTATATGCATGCATGGAATAGCCTAAAAAAAATTGCAAAATGCTCATTAATGATCACAAAACAATTGGACTAAACAGGAATCCTTCATTACCACTTTTATTTCGGTTTATAATTTTCAACAGACAATAAATGTACAAAATAATTGAATGTTGCATGTTAAGGAAATTTCATTTACCATCAATGACAATCATTCATGTCAAAAAAATGATGATCATTGTATTATGTGTTAATATTTATAAATTATGTATATACTGTATTAATGTTTGTGAGTTAGTTTCACCCTTATGTTTACATTCTTTTCTTTAATGATACATGAGTATTATGAACTTGATATTTTGAATATATTAAAATGTAATGTTTTGAGATTACATGAATTGTTTACAAAGTTTAATTTAAAGAAATTAATGAGTTCTGCTAAATAATTTTAGAGCTGTATTAGAAATATACACCTGCATCAAGTGATTGGTATCTTTGATATATGTTCAACACTGTATTCTATAGTTTTATGAAGTAAATTCAACGAATATTATATCTTTTCATGAAAAAATTACTGAAAAGAAATATTATGTCTTAATGTGTCTAGTCCATACAGAACAATACTGATGTATGTTGAGAGAATAAACTTTTACAGTGTGCATGAATTTATATTTTTTCCAGAGCAAATGTAATGTTACATTTTCAGTGTAAAAATTCTTTATCATACATGTAATTCAAGTCTTTATGTAATTACTTTATAATCAACCTCATGCAGTATTGTAGATAATTCACAATTGCTAAGGCTTCAAACAGACTGGGTGGTCAACAAATTAACCAATAGATGCACCTCAAAATGAAATACTTGCATGCAAATGTTCACACACTTTATTTAAAGCCATTATCTATCCAGGATACTTATTGATTTTTGTTTAGAGTGACTTTGTAGCTGAATTAGAATTTGATACACGAATTTTCAGAGCACAACTCGGTTAGAGATTTTATTTTTTTTGGGTATACATCATTTACATCATTTTGTTTTGAAATAATGTTCATTGTATATATGAAACTTTGTGTTGAAATATTTTAATCGACTTGATAATTTATCTTTTTTGATTTTTTTTTTGTCCTAAAATGTTTAAGTTTATTGTATTTTTTTTGTATTTCAAAACATTCAGAAATGACTTTGAACATTTACCTTTACTAGCTTTATAGTTACCTGTGTAGAATAGGAAAAGCAACCTGCATAATCAGAGAGAAACTGACAACTCATTCTAAGTTACTAGTATATATTGCTGATTTTAGTTAACTCCATATAAATTGATATTTAATTCTCTCCAGCATTGAGATATTTAATATGTGACCACCATTATATTATAATCTAATGAGAATCAACTATATATTAAACAATTATACCCAGGTAAGTATGGAAAGAGGGGGTCAATGGCCAGCCCGTAAAGGGAGGTAAACCTACCTCTTTATAACATTACAATTTTTCTTATAAAAGAGAGGAAAAAAAAGGTGGATCACTATAATTTCTCATGACTAGTCTTTAAAATCAAAATTATTGATTGCAAAAAGATCTTAATCATTCCATTTTGGAATAATACCATCAAGTTTAGGTTATCTGATTCCTGCAGGTACTCCAATTAAACGTTTTACTTATTAAAAATTCTTTAAAAATAAAAGTTGATATTCAAAGTCAGAGTCTGTTGACCATTATATAATTATTCACTTTCAGTTGCAATCTTTCCAATTTTCGCTTTCGTTTTGTATAGGAAAGATTTACTACTAAGTGAACTTAAAAATAAATACAGTGTATTTTGTATATCTTCAAATGATTTCTTTGATGTATTGAACTTTCCTCTAAACAAATGTTTGAAATGTTTGCAAAGCATCTAATTGCATGTTTACTTGTATTGCTAGTGTCAGGAAGTTTTGCATTTCTGTTACAAAATTGTTGCACTATTGCATATTTGATACTGTGTGCATATATGCCAGTTGAAGTAATATAAAATTTAGATAGTTGATTGTTATTAGTTCCTCTAAGTTTTTATTATATATTACGGGTATCTACTAATTGTCAGATAAATTTTCACCAAATCTGCTGAATTCTGTTAAGAAATAAAAGTAAAATCTTATTCACATTTTCTGTTTTAATTATAACTATCATAGTTAATGTTACCCCCCCCCCCCCCCAAAAAAAAAAAAGGAGAGAAATGTTTTTGTTCAATAAAAGTATATTACACTTCAGAGTTGACAGTACAAGTTCTATATTCTGCAGAAATACTGAGATTGACCTCTTAATGACTAAATTGATAATGAACAAGATAGGCATTAAGCACCGGTTGAAAAGAAAGCCATTCTTAGCAATTTTATGCTTAGATCAAGCCCAATTACAGTAAATGATTAAAAAGAGGAAGTACATTCACAAACATCTACATGCATGCATAATTCTTGCAAGTAAAGGTCTTTCACTCAGGTGAGCGATGTGGCCCCTGGGCCTCTTGTTGTGAGTGTAACCTATAATGGGGTCATATTTTGACCAACAAATTTCATACCAAATGTTTATACATGTAGTTGTGTTTTGTTTATGTATTCTAAAACTCTGTATGGATTATTCCATCTTCCTGATAAAAACTAAAAAAAATAAAAATGATTAGTTAATCCAAATTAACTGTAAAATCAAATATTTTCATGGGGTCAAATATTTGAGAATTGAGGAAAAAAATATTGGTTTGTGGGGATTTGATTTCATGGACAAAGAAATGTGGGTAAGTTTTGATAATTATGTGATGACGCATGCAGAAACAACAATCTGATGCAGTTTAGTTCTTCATTTAGATTTTGATTGATTTCCCCTCTTGTCAATGCTGTTTAGTTCTCTTGATTGATATCTCATTTTAACTGACTTTCTTCTTTACCTGTATGTACTGTATATATACATGTAGAAATGTGACACATCTATCTACCATTAAAATTGATAAAATTGGAGTAAAGTTTAATTAAGTTGCCTACAATCCATTTTATTTCCAGACACTCAAGTTATCAGAGCTTTAAGGAATTCCCCTTTTCTGAAGAAAATTGTTTTTGTGTCATGCAATCCCAGAGGAGCCATGAACAATTTTGTAGAGTAAGTCGTCACTGTCATTACAGACCCACGATACATACTTATACAATTTTTCCTTTATTTAAGACTTAAGGTCAGACGACACGTTCCTCAAAAATATATAATTTTTCCAAAGAATTTGTCATTGAAATTAAGGTCATTAAACAAGTTTCCTTACAAAAAATTAGGGTACCTTACCAGGCATTTGGCCAAGATATCATAGGGTCATATTTCTTATATAACCCTTATGGGTAATCTTCTAAATGGCTTATAAAACACTTTTTGGTGTACTTATATTTAAAAAGAATTTTAAAACAATATAGAAATCAACAGAGAATGAAAAATGTGAATATTTTTCTATATAATACTAAAAGATACAAAACATTTATTTGAGGAACGTGTCGTCTGACCTTAAGCATAGACATATAATTTTGAATCATTTATATGAATAAAAATGCTGGTCAGTGTAGTGAATTGCATGATATATTATCAAACAAATGTGAACTCCCTTCTTTTATATTACAGCTTAGTTCGTCAACCCTCTAAGAAGATGCGAGGTCAGGCGTACCGGCCGATTAAAGCTGTGCCTGTAGACATGTTCCCCCAGACTAAACATTGTGAACTGGTTATACTGTTTGAAAGAGATTCATGTACCTAATAAAAGTCATAAATTCTGTAATGGTTTAGAGTTTTTATTTAAAGTTTAAACAAAGCCTTTAGTCCTCAAATCATCTATTTCAAAATATATTTGAATCGCTGTAGATTGATAGCTCTTTGACACATAGTATATGTATGAAGTACATGTATTTTTTAATTGTGGATTGTGGTGTCATCACTAAAGCCTATATATTGAAAATTTTAAGAAATTTCCTAGGAGCGATAAAGAACAAATATATTATTATGATATATGCCTATGTATAAACTGATTCAAGCAATTTTGCAGACGTAGTATTAAGTAACAGGGGGTCCTGCCAACCCCACCACTTTTATCCAAAATCTTACCAGGGGCATAGCCAGGGTACTTTTGATGTGGACCTTTAGACCCCTGCACTAGTGAGTTTTCCACGATTTTGATTTGCGTATTCGACCCTCCTGATCGCATTTTTCTTGCACCTTAGAAATTTGTTACGCAGCCATTTTTGAGGTATGTTATGATTTTGTACAAAATACAGAAAAACTTAAAAATGTAAAAGTAGTGTATGACGAACCCGAAAAATCAGCTTTGATTTCAGAGAGGTGTATACAGTGTACTTCCGCATTTTCCCCTGAAAATGATTCTGTTAATTTTCATGTAATATTCTTTATCGTTATTGTAAATCGTTTCTTAGTATTTTTTTCATTATTTATTTTTTGCAAATTGATTTGCAGCAATCATGGAAATTACGCCTACATAGTTGCCCCCCCCCCCCCTCTCTCTCTCTCTCTCTTACTTTTTCTCTTTTGTCAACTTCAACATTTATGTAGACGTTTGTTCGTACAAACGTACGCCTGGCTACGCGCCTGTTAATACTATCAGAAATGTTCATGGAATTAAAGACCCCACCGCATTTTGCTGTAGTATAGTCAAATAAGGTAGTGTAGTAGGAATTACCCCCTAACTCCACCTCAAGATGCCCTTTTAATCAACTTTGACTTTATTTTAATTGATAAAATGCATGAAGGCCTCTTGATGTTGCGTGCCCGATAAGAAACACTACATGTATATAAACCGTTATATAACCTTTGTTTCACAACGAAAAGTATGGGGGAACCAGACTTTTATTGAACATCTTTTAGAAAACTTATGAATACCCCCTCCCTCCCGATGCCTGATAAATTCTTGGCATAGTCAAAGAGAACGTTTCAAATATTTGAGATGTTGTTAATTCAGCGATTAATAGAGTTAGGCCTCAATGGTTAGTCTCTCCATATATTCTTCCTCGATCTCTGTTGGCATTGAATATATTATTCGTGGTATGATCAGCAAATCATTGTCTGGATGATTGTGGGTTTTCTACTGAACTCAGAATTGACAGGAAATTCTATAGAGAGAAATTATATTTATTATATTATGTATAATTTTAAGTGAAACTATAATATACATCTATAGTGTCTTGTCTAACGAAGTTACATGTATTAATAAATTTACTATTATATAATAAAATATATTCCAACAGATTTGATAAATCTTTTTCACTTTGGTTGTTCTTGAATATGCACTAAATATCAAAAGGTTCATTTCTTATCTTATTCAAATAATCGACTCCATATCTTGGAGTGAAACTTAAAAGTATATACTCGGTGAAGGATGGAAAAACGGGTGAATTTACTTTTGGGTCTAATAATCTTTGTACCAATTCCTGGTGATGGATATAAATGTGTGGTATCGTCATACTGCAAAATCCTAATGTGGGCCCCCTGGTCACCGTGCTCCTCGGGGTGTGGGCAGGGATTGAGGTACCGCCTGCCAGGAATGTGTTGTCCGTCGACAGTTACTGCCGAAACCATATTTGAGGAGTGTGCTGTAAAACTCTGTAACATGACGGAGAGCGATTATAGACAAGCGGAGGTCTGTCGGGAATCGCAAAATTGCACCCAAGGTATAGAAATCGTTAATAACCTCATCACTCAACCAGAAAGAAAAAAAATATGCATTAAAACAGTTGGGTTTGAGTTTCATTTCAAAGAAAATATATCATAAAGAATGATATGAAAATTCTACATTTTTAATGAAAATTTAAGTTACAGTTTGCGCTCTTTTGATATTGAACAATGAGAAAAAAATTCATGAGAAAAAGTATTTTGTGTTACATCTTCTGAACAAGTTTCTATTGATCTAGGTATAGGATATCAAAGTGTTCAGGGATCGATTTTCTGACTTTAATTTTTTTTTGGGGGGGGGGGGGTGACAGTACCCTTTCCATTTTATTCTAAATACATGTATATCAGTTTCAGATGAGATAAATATAAATCATATAAACTCGATATTGAAAATGTTACATTAATTATCCAATTGGTGGACACCAGCTTTCAAACTTGACAGCACGCACACAAGCGAATCAAGCAATGGATGATTAATAATAACTCAAAAGTTTACCTTCCTTTTCGACTTCTGAAAAAAAAATCGTTTTGATTCTTTTTTCCCTTTTTTAGCTCACCTGAGCCAAAGGCTCAAGTGAGCTTTTCTGATCAAAATTTGTCCGTTGTCTGTCGTCGTTGGCGTCGTTGTTGTTGTTGGCGTCGTCGTTGTTGGCGTTGTCGTTGTTGTAAACTTTTCACATTTTCATCTTCTTCTCAAGAACCACTGGGCCAATTTCAACCAAACTTGCTACAAAGTATCCTTGGGTAAAGGGGATTCAAGTTTGTTCAAATGAAGGGCCACGCCCTTTTCCAAGGGGAGATAATTATGAATTAGAAAAAAATTCATGGCATTTTTAAAAAATCTTCTTCTCAAGAACCACTGGGCCAGGAAAGATGAAACTCATGTGTAATCATCCTCAGGTAGTGTAGATTCAAGTTTGTACAATTCATAACCCCCAGGGGTAGGGTGGGGCCAAAATGGCTGATCAAAGTTTAACATAGGAATATATAGGAAAAATCTTTTAAAATCTTCTTCTCAAGAACCACTGGACCAGGAAAGATGAAACTCATGTGGAATCATCTTCAGGTAGTGTAGATTTAAGTTTGTTCAAATCATGACCCCCTGGGGTAGGGTGGGGCCAGAATGGCTGATCAAAGTTTTAACAAAGGAATATATAGGAAAAATCTTTAAAAATCTTCTTCTCAAGAACCACTGGACTAGGAAAGATGAAACTCATGCGGAATCATCCTCAGGTAGTGTAGATTCAATTTTGTTCAAATCATGACCCCCGGGGGTAGGGTGGGGCTAAAATGGCTGATCAAAGTTTTACATAGGAATATATAGGAAAAATCTTCTTCTCAAGAACCATTGAGACAGGAAAGATGAAACTCATGTAGAATCATCCCCAGGTAGTGTAGATTTATATTTGTTCAAATCATGACCCCCGGGGGTAGGAGGGGGCCAAAATGGCCGATAAAAGTTTTACACAGGAATATCTAGGGTAACCTTTTAAAATCTTGTTTTCAAGTACTTTAAAGCCATGCTTAGTGATATTTATAGGGAATCATCCTCAGATATTGTAGATTCATGTTTGTTCAAATCATGACCCCCTGGGGGGTGGGAAATTTAAGCCCCCCCCCCCCCCCCCCCTCAGCAAACTTTCAGTTCTGATCTGATGTGTGATTTTTCCTAGCCAATTGCTCAGGTGAGCGATGTGGCCCCTGGGCCTCTTGTTTGAAATGACTTCATCAAATTGGTGCATTAATAACAATTTGTTTCCTAGTTTAAAATAAGAATTAGTTTGCGGATAACTTCGATATGTTTTGTTATATTTCAGCTAATAAAGAGATAAATCCTCTTTCACCCTTTGGTAAGTAAAACATGTACGTATTTCTTACGTTAAAATTTTAAACATTTCCCTACAACAAACATCTGAACTGATGGAAAAAGAAATGATATTAATTCTCACTGGTTGATATTTTTGACTTGATAAAATATCGCATATGAACATTCATACAAACAATGTGTTGACATGGGGCCCTTCGCACAGCGAAGATTTGATACATAAAGTTTTGCAATTAAGATTTTCAAAACTATCCATAACAAGATTGTTATAGCAAGTTTTGAATTTCTTAAATTGCAAAACTTTAATGTAACATTCTCTCTCTCTCTCTCTCTCTCTCTCTCTCTCTCTCTCTCTCTCTCTCTCTCTCTCCAGCTATATATTTCAGTTCAATTAAACTTTAAACTTTGTACCTAATACCTATATATTATTTATGTTAGTAAGTTAGGAAATTTTTACTTCTTCTTTTGTGGATACAGACAATTGCAATTAATTAAAAAAGATATGCATATTTTATGTATTTATCAATTATCATAAGGTTTTAATTATAAAGGCGTGGTGCCTGTGATGGTGGGATCCGCCCTTCTGCTGGCTACGGTGGTGTCAGGTGTTGTTTGTGTCATGTTCTGTGCCAAACGTTATAAGAGAAAGAAGGAAAAGAAAGCGGCCAAGAACACAGTCAGACCTATTAATCCTGATCACATTGTGCGGCATTTATGACAACCAAGACACAAGCGGAGCATCTTGTTATGTTTGATTTTTTTTTCAATGAATAAAGCTTGTTTTTGTATTATAAAATTTATATCTTTAATTAAAATATGACCCAAATGTATTATACATGTACGAGTGTACTTCATTGTATATATGTAAGACTCCAAAGTCCGATGGTGACGCCAAAGTCCGATGGTCTCGCCAAACCCCGATGGTCTGCGCCAAACCCCGATGGCTCATTGTCTTTACGGGCGCCAAAGTCCGATGGCCACGCCAAAGTCCGATGGCTCGTTTCCTATGAGACGCGCGACGCTAAAGTGCGATGGTCTGACACGCCGAAGTCCGATGGTGCGGATGAACAATCAACGTTTATGACGTCACAATAATCCAACGTCAATCCTTGACGCCGTTGTCCTGCATTCAAAAGCAATCATTTCTGAATTCGTCCTTGAACACAATTTTTATTATTGATTTTGCTTATTACTTGCACCTTCTAGAGATATTCTGCGGGACGTGGAGGCCGGTCCTTCGGATGAGACCGTATAAACCGAGGCCCCGTGTCACAGTAGGTGCTGGCACGAAAAAGATCCCTCTCTGCTTAATGGCCCTAAGTGCCGAGCATAGGACAAAATTTGCAGCTCTCCACCAGCAAATGGTGGCGTCTCCATATGAGTGAAAAATTCTCGAGAGGGACGTTAAACAATATACAATTAATCAATCAATCTAGAGATATAAGGGTTAGTCCTCGCACACCACTCGATTGATTAGGGTTAGTCCTTGCATTGCACAACCCGAGTGAATTAGGGTTAGTCCTCGCACCAAAGTCGAGTGATTAGGGTTAGTCTTGCCCCAACTCAAGATATTTAGGTTATTGTTAATACACACTTTTCGAGCGTTAGTCTCGCACCTGCCTGAGAGTTAAGGGTTAGTTTTCGCATTTATTTATACTTATTCTAAAGACCTTTGCATGTCGCGGCATTGAGGTTTGGGCGCAGTGCTACTATGACGTCATAAACGTTAATTGTTTTCCGCACCGTCGGACTTTGGCGTGTCAGACCATCGGGGTTTGGCGCAGACCATCGGACTTTGGCGTGACCATCGGACTTTGGAGTCCCATCGCACTTTGGAGTCCTACATATATATATAGAGAATGTGTGTGATCTATAACTTGATCATGTTGATGAAATTCATTTTTATTTGTTTATGTCTGTACATCTTTATACTTTTAGTTTCTGTAATAAACCCTCGCCTTGATACCTTTGATAGTGATTTTTTATATCCCCCAGCACTGGAATCGTATCTCCAGATCCATGGTCTCTATTGATATAAGGCTGTAAATCAGAGAAACTAAGTCACGGAGTCAATAGCGTACGTTCACTTCATAGCAATATATAAAAATTGATATTAAATGGTGGTGATTTAAGACAAAGGAGGCTTGTTTACTGTATGTCACCATACACAGTTTATTTCACTCTTTCTTGGACAGAGAAAAATGTTCCAAGTTTTAATTATAATTCCCAACAATCTCAAAAAGTATACCCCTTTCCGACAGTGAATTTAAAGTCTGGAAAAATATATCCCAAAACAATGTTTTCCCCACATTCGAATTTGTTAGACTTTTTACTGAATGTGTGAATTCTATTGTTCTTTTATAAGCAATAAAAAGATATGTTGCAGTAATGGACCGTGGCTTATTTTATGATAAGTTATTGGATAATCAAATTTAAAATATATTTCTATTTGTTTATTAATTTTCATAAACTAGAGTAGAACTTTGCTATAAATTACTCAATCGGTTTCAGTGTTATATCTTTTTAAAACAAAAACTTAAAAGATTTATTTCCTTACTCCACAAAAATAACAAAGAACGATGGATGATTGGGGGGGGGGGGCGAAATGCCTATAATGCGACAAACTTGAAGTGAAAGTAAATAAAATCTCGATTACATCAAAATTTTCTTTTATATTTCATGTAAAATCATTAAATATGTTAAATTATATTTTGTGTAAAATAACTACATTTTACAAAAATCTCACAAAGACTGAAATTATTTGCCTATGAAAAAGTATACACACACTAAAGTTAAGATGACAAAAAGGATCATTTTCTCACGTACTTTAAAAAAAGATACATGTATGAGTGTGTCTTAGCTGCAGATCTGTAGCTCTCCGAAAAAAAATTATTGATAGACCGGAGAGCTACAGTGCCACCCATTGAAAAAACTGTATATTTATTGCGCACAAAAAAGTGCGCTCGGTTCTCGGTTTATTTCTCCATGTTTTTAAACTGTAATCTCAAAATATTACTAACCATGTATTCCTAACATACTCTTTGACTCTTTCCACAACAAAACATTCCTCATAATTGTTGTTAATAGTCCTCCTGGCCCTGATATTGTAATCATCGAACATTTCGCTTATTTATACTGCCATTTTTGTTTCAAAGATAACCCTTACCGAAAATATTGCCTTCCTGCAAATATTTGCTGCAAGTCTGCAGCAAACATTGCTGCAAGCTTGCAGCAGACATTGCTGCAAGCTTGCGGCAATGTAGCCAAAGAAAGCATGACAGTCTATACAAAGCCTTGGTGTTTGCAGCAAGTTAGCGGCAAGTCTGCAGCAAGCTTGCTGCAAACATTTTACCATGCAAATGAGGTTTGCTGCAAGTCTGCAGCAAACATTGGATTTTCCAAATAAGGGAACCTTGCTGCAAGCTTGCGGCAAACATTGCTGCAAGCCTGCCGCAAACATTGCTGCAAGCTTGCAGCAAACATTGCTGCTAACTTGCAGCAAACAATTTCCTTATGGTTTTGGCACATTCCTTTGTACAAGCAGCAAGTTCACAGAAAGCCTTTGTCCTGACCTAAATCTGTTAAGTCTAGAGAAAATCCACCACATGTTTCTGAAAAGATGCAGTTTTATGAAGTTATGATAGGCCCTCTTTACGTTAATAGACAAAGTTTTCATACCTTTCTAAAGTGAAAGTGCATGATAGCTTTTTATATGAACAGAACTTTAAGAACTTTACATATAATTTTTAATGAATATTTTTGTGATTACACATTTACTGATTAATTTGATAACATTTAACTGATTTGGGTCCATTAATACTTTTAAGAAGTATACATATGTGATATCAAAAAGAGGACTGAAATTCATAAGAAACAGATTTAGATTTGACCTAGCATTTACACCAGTTACTCAAACGTGCTTTTAAGAAATATTCTTTCAAATATCAAAATAAATCAAAATCATTTCTTACCAATTACATAGCATTGATAGAATGAACACCTACATCCAGAGTTTGGCACTTTTAATATCATTCAAATCGATGTATATTCCTACCAAAATACTGAAACATGTACAACTTCAATTCCAACATTTCAAAATGGCCAGTTTTGTGTTGACCCAGTACAATCTGCGTTTCATTGGCTGATTTGACTTGTTTACTGTTCTTGCGAACTTCCTGCAAACATTTGAATTGTGAAAAGTTTCCTGCGAACTTGCTGCGAACATTAAATTGGCGTGTATGTTTCTTGCAATGTTCCTGCAAACATGTTGGGTTCCTGCGAATTTGCTGCAAGCTTGCAGCAATTGCTGCAATGTTTGCCGCAAGATCGCAGCTAGCGGCAATCATCTGCGAACAAGAAAATTTTCTTCCTGCGAACAATTTTGTTTGCTGCAAGCTTGCAGCAGACTTGCTGCAGGCCTGCAGCAAACATATCAGTTTGGTAAGGGAATTCGGTCCAATATGCTTCGTTCAGATGTCAACTACGAAAGTACTTGATAGAGGAGAGAGGATTTTTTTTAATCTTCCATTTTATGCAATTTAGGTAAGAATTTGGAAGAATTAATCAACAACCGAGCGCACTTTTTTGTGCGCAATAAATATACAGTTTTTTCAATGGATGGCACTGTAGCTCTCCGGTCTATCAATTTTTTTTTTCCGGAGAGCTACAGATCTGCAGCTAAGTGTGTCTTAGCTCCATTTTTAAAAAGTTAATCCTAAAAGTTTGCATAAAAATATACATTTTGGGTCCACAAAAACATGGAGCAAAGACCCAAAGTACACTCTAATGACAAACAATTCGCATCTTTTTCTAGAAATACTTGAAGTCCAACGATTTAAGTCAAAATCATATCACAAAAATGATCTAGTTGTCATCAGGAGCTGTGTAGCGTGTGGTTAAGCCTGTAAACATGGTAAACTCAAAGTATTCTGGATTTGTATTGCTCAGGGTTCGAATCCTACGAATACAATATTGTTTTGGGGTAAAAGAATCAATTTTGTTCGAGGTTTTTTTTTTCACAAAAGTTTTGTATCATGTTATTTATATATATTTTACTTAAAAATCTTGAAATATTCCGAAACCAAGACGGACATTACTTGGGATGTGAAATTTTGTCCTTCACAATGTGATAAAGTTTTATAATCTTTATTTTAAATACGAATAAAGTAAAACCTTTTTATATACATCTTATGTATTCAAAGCCCCCCCCCCCCCCTTTTCTAAAGTTACAGTCCGGAGTTATCGCACCTTTTCATTATAAGAATTTTACCTCCAAACCAAGGAGAGCTAACCACGGAAGTAGGTGGCGATGAGATGCAAAATGACGTGATGTAAATTAGTGATGGAAATGTTTACATCCAGAAAACGATTGCATGTGAGAAGAAGTGAACACTTTCGAATCTAACTTCAAAATGTCCGACAGCGAAGAGTTTGGGCCACTCGAAACAGCATCCACATCTTGCTCAGGTAGTCAAGGTTTGTTGCAGATCTCTGTGTCAGTAACTGGAGGCTGGCATTCAATATCGATCGATGTCAGCATGAATGAATAATTTTACATTCGTTTAAATCGACAGTTAATATAGCCACTGTATTTGAATAGGATAATGAATAACCGACCATAAGAACACATATGGTTTTTGTAAACAGGGGATAGTAGGGCACGCCAAGGAAAGGATCTAGCTTTTATGCAGGATGCTCTATCATGTATGGGGCTAATTTTAGGACATAAATTTTATGCAGAGAGATAAATGTTTTGCTTTCTTTTCTTTCTGTCAGTTTTCCATGACCAGCTTCCATGAAAAGTCGTGAAGTAAAATGAGCAGATCTGTATCTCGTATTACTAAACTAAGTCTTCAAATGCATACAGCTTTATATCTTTTTCTTAGTTTTACTTAAACATTAAAATTATTAAATAAAAGCATATTTTCTATCTCATTATGAAGATACATACCAATTATTACCTATTACCTGTTTTTATTTACAGATGAGGTTAACCAATTGAGAGAAAAAGTGAAAGTCCTTGAGGAACATGAAGCAGAATTTGGACAGAAGAGAGCTAAATTTAAAGAGATCTATGTACAAAAAGAAAGTAATGCAGTTCATTTGCTATTTCATTAAATTCATATTCATATTTTTTTTATTTTAAGTTTAAGGGACTGCTCAATTTATAAAGTGTTTCAAATTAAGTGAGAAAAATAAATATTTCAATATGAAGATTTAAGCATTAAATGCCTCCAACAGTAAGAGCTACTACATACAACAATTGAGAATATGTATTCTACTACAAATCTGTCTGATATGTAACAGAGGAACTACAGAAAGAAAAAGAGAAACATCAAGAGACGGAGTCTGAGCTGAGGTCCGTGACAGAGGAGCTGGAGAGACTGCGGGGGGAACTGGAGGGGATCAAAACAGCGGTGGCGTACTCTGAGTCCAACAAGCAGGACGAGATCGAGGCCATACGACGCCAGTGTAAAGAGGAAATAGAAACACTACAGTCTTTTCTCAATGGTAAATTAATCAAAACTGCACTATGAATTTCACTTACAGATAAATTGAAAGTACGTTTTGGTTAACTGTATTATTATTAAACAATAGAAATGAAAATTAATAGTGAAGCATTGCTATTTGACAATGAATGCAATGTTTGTTTCCAATCAAAATTGAAATGAGAGGTAATCATACATCAGTTTCTACTTCTGTAAAAGTTTTGTTTGTAAAAGTTTTGTAAAACCAATGAATGTCAGAGGTAAAAGTAAACTAAAAGTACATGTATGATGTATATACCTGTAAAGACTGCTTCCATGCAAAATCTTAAATACTTCAAATTGACAGCAGTGCATTGGCTAAAGTGAATACCAGTATAAGGAATATTAACAGCTTACTGTAAATTAATAAGTTTTATAATTTTGTTGTTTTAGTGAAGAGAACCAGAAATTTATGTCCCCTGGCCCACAAAATACTATGAATAGTAAAATGTTTTCTTTCTTAAAACAAAAATAATTATATTTTTTCCTCAAACCATAAAATTTGACCCCTTGAAAATGATTGATTTTAAAGTATAAAGTGTTTTATAGTGGATCATGATATGTGATTTTAATTTATATTACACAGAGGTGAGAACGGAGGCCTCTACAACCACGGCCATGCAATATGAACAAGAACAAAGAAAGCTAAAAGAACTCTGTGAAAAGTACGAGGAGGAGGTTCGAGATTTACGTAGTCGCCTTAACCAGGATGGGTGTGTATACCTTAAAAAGAAATATAATTATAAAGTAAAATAAAATGTACCCTTATGTTTACTTAACTTATAGAGCATTCATAAATTGTAAGGAAATTATGCAGAAATAGGTCAGAAACTTACAGTGTACTAACAAGTTCTAATTTATTTCTTTGTACTGATATACTTGTATGTACTTTCTCAGAGTGTTTCAGAAGTTACAAATAAGGTATAGCACACAACTAACTTTGCATGCCATTAGATAATCAACTATAACACAACAAGTTTCTACATATTACGTATAACATGTGTATACAGTTGTACAGATGTAATGGTAAAGGGTACAATTATTGGTTTCCTAGGACATGCAAGAGAAAACTGTGTTAAATATATTTCTTTTCCCCTATCTATTAATACATTATATAAAGAAATACAGGAATGCACAGAAGTTTAGTTTAACTGTTGTAATTTCATGAGACAAAATACACATGAAAAATAAGATCATTATAAAATTTCTGTATTTTTTGTGTTAGAAATATTGTATGTGATGTTCATTTTATTCACCTTTTTCTGAAAGTTGTAAAAACACTCTATATTTTTTTTTATATTATCTATACTGTTACAGAAATTCTTCTAAAAGGTTTTCATGCATACTAATATATTCTTGCAATAGCTTGTACTTAAGATATTGATTACTAGTATTTTGATGCTATTTATTGCCCAAAATTCACTAACTACATAAATTATTTACTGTTTGTCACTGAGTTACATATGACATTTATATAAATATATTTTTAGCAATTATAAGAGAATCTTCTATTGAAATGAATACCTGTAATTATCTTTTTACAGAGATGGATTTTTATCATCTGTTGCTAAGCAACTGAAGCAGATGGCACCAGGCTCGGTGGGAACCAGTTCTAGTCTGGCTCAGGAACACGAGAGTCTGGAGGACGACATGAGGAAGGTCAGTATAAAAACACTTTAGAGACCCCGAACATGTTATTTATTTCCTGTCTTGTGGTAGTCATATCTCTAAATGTCCTCATTGAAATTCCCCTTCACTTGAAGAAGACCCTTATTGATTTCCAGGTTTAAAGGTCATTTTCAGACATTCATATGTTCTTGATATAGTCAGTAACTTGTCAAGTAAATGAGAGGTTTTGGCATTGCTTTAAACAAATATAGAGTACAGTATGTTACAGGCTCAAGCTGATGCTGAGATTTTGAAGTCAGTAGTAATGCCACTAGAGGAAGAGATTAAGTCTCTCAAGGAACAGCTTCAGGAGGCCAGGGATAAAGTCAGGGACTTTCAGGGGATTCAGGCCTCACCCGGTGCTAAAAACATGACCCCTGACACACAGTCACTCTCTGAAATGGACCAATCAAAAGATCCAGAGGAAAGGGTAAGGGTCAAAGCAAGAGACTCATTTGTAAATTATTTCTACTGATTGATGCTCAATTATTAGACAATTTTTGGAACTGATCTCAATAGTTTAACCATATGTATTAGTATTTGTTCAAGTATTGACCATAATTTGTGTAATTCTAACCTTTTCAAAATAGTTAGTCATTACTTGTTATTTACAATCAAGCTGAGAATGGAATTGTATGCTGCTGTTATGCACAAATATGTAAATATGGATTCTGAATCGAATTCTGAATTCTTTATTGATATCTTTTACTGTACGACTGTATTTATTACTAGTTGTATTTTGTTAGAGTAACATTTAGATTTCATTCATTGTAGATAAAGGAACTGCTGAAATATCTACAAGCGGAGAAAGCGTCACGTAAAGATCTGGAGATGTACGTCGCTGTACTCTCCACGCAGAAGAAAGTTTACGAGGATGAGTCAGACAAACTGAAGAAGGACCTCAATGATGGTAAGCTAAAGGTTCAGCGGAATGAAGGCTACATAATGATCTTAATTATCTCTAATGCGTTAGATCTGAAGTATTCATGTGTTATGAAATCAAACACTTTATAAATCTTTCCTAACAATTTTATTCTGTGACCCTTTCTGATTGAAAATGCTATATGAATATTCTTTATATGAATCTTATTATGCCGATTGTGAATCTTGCAGTGTGTAAAATCCTGGAGGATGAGAAGAAATCCCACGAGGACCTGCGTCACACTTGGCAGATGGCCAATGACCAGTTCCTGGAATCTCAGAGACTGATGATGATGGACCTCCGCCGGATGGAGTCGGTATTGACGGTAGAACAGCAGCGACAGATAGGAGGTACGGTGCTAAATCACCACAACACTGTTACTGTGACAAAGATATTGCATTTTGCCAATATTTTTACCTAAAAATTCCCCAAAACATGGGTGGGGGGATTATTAAGATTGATGCAAAAATGTAACAGTTGTATAAGAATTCTACTACCACTGATACCAATTAATGAAGAATGCATGGATTTGAAATTTAATGCATGGTTTGAAATATAGGGATGGAAGTTTATTTTTACAATGTATAAGCAAATAATATACCACTTATTCTAACATTTGCACATAGAATTTATTTAAACAGCTCTTTAATAGGATGGAAAACAATGTTTCATTATTGAAATGATGGGTCCTAAGCATTTTGATGACTTTGGATTTGATTTTGCATGGTGTTTCTAGAGCTCCAAATGAAGGACAGGAAAAGGGAGGCTCAAGAAAAGAGGGTAAAAAATTTGGAGGAAATGCGGAATAAACAGCAACAAGAACAAGAGCAACGTAAACTAGGTATAGCTGGAGCTTATGTCTCTCTCTGTTAGATTTCTGTAGATTTTAGAGACAGGAAAACTTAAAATGCAACAATGCACAAAGCATATTTAGCATCAACCATATTTTAAGGCTCCGAGAGTGTGAGAATTTGTTTCTCTTTAATTAGGAAAAGTTTTCTACTATGATAAACTGTGTAGGTGGTCAAATGAAGATCCCGAATTCCCCACAAAGTTCTTAGTTTTTTCAATTTTTGTTATTTTATATAGAGATGTTAAGAATTCTGTCCAAATGTCTGCATTCTCAATTCTGAATCTGATATTTTATCTGGTAATTAGTTTTCAAATATTAGTTTAATTGCACAGTAGTATGAACAAGTTGGAATTTTAGTTCCAAGCACAAAAAAGATGCATATATTGCTTGGGACTGAATACTCTTACTTGTTCCTGGATTTAACATGAAGTTTCAGAACTGCTAGATGTTATGTATATAGGTATCAACCTGTAATTTTGCTTAAGTGTGTTTTATTTATTGAGGACTGTTTCAGTAAGAAGCATCCTCATCATTTGTGTATTGACCCCAGTTATTTTGGTTTTTCTTGATGTATTCTGTTGCTTTATAGTTATAGACGCCCTTATCAATAATTTACGACGGTTAAACAGACGTAAGTGTGATGCCATCAAACGCATGACATTTTGTTGACTGCTTTTTTTCCTGTGTTTTAGCATGTCAAACACTATTTTGAAAGTTTTAAAAAACTGTTTAATGACAATTTATATGTAGTAGCTACATGTAAATTCATTTGCATGTTATATTTTCATTTTCATTTCTGAAATTTTAAACCTTAATTATTTGTTCACCGTTGAATCGTCAATGCTCATCTTGGACCAATGTTCATGGATTTCATGGGTCACCCTTATCCACAGATTTACATCCCCAAGAAGAACTATTTTGTCAACATATTTATTCATTGAATCTTCTGTACGTAATTACATCCTCACAAACCAAAAAATTGAGTTACCCATGAACGTTGACCACTATGAATTAAAATGATTCCACGGTATACATGTATGTAAACATGAAGTTAAGTATGAATAAAAACTCCATTAATTTAAGATACATGTACCAGTGTTGTATTGTGTTATTATTTATGGTTGATAAGCCTGTATCAGATATAGGGAGTTTTCATGCTATACATGTATTTACTGTACAAAACATTATGTATATTCATGTAATTGTGGTATCTGTAAACCATGTCAGAGGTCTTTGTGACAGAAAGGAAGAAGAGAAATTCTTAGTTTGTGACAAAGAGAAATATTATATGCCTCAAATGAAGTATTAATACGACTCTTTTAGTTTAAAAATCTTGCCATTTTATATTGACAGAACAAGTTTTTCAAAAAGGCCGATTTGTTTAAAATGTAGCCAGGAAATGGACGATAACTTGATACATAATAATATGATTTTTTACTTTTTCAGATGCTCTAAGAAAAATGGAGCAAGTGTCTGAGGTAAGAGTAATTGATTTACAAAACTTAGTTAGAAAAACTAATGTTTGTTTATGTTTGACAGAAACATTTAGATTTGTTAAATCCGTCTTATGTTTTAATGTTAGACTGCAAATAAAATCTTGCTCACCTAAAATGTATTTACAATTTATGAATTGGCTTGGATGATGATGAGTATGTCACACATCTGTCAGCTATTTTGTGGAATTGTTTTTATCTTCAGTTGAGGCATTTTCTCATTTTTCAGAAGCTACAAACAATAGAGAACCATGACTTAAGTGACGCTTTACAAAACCAGACGGAGGCCTTCTCCCAGGGGTCAAACTCCAGCATCAATCTACTGTCCGCAGACATGGGCCTGATCAGGAAATCCCCCAGTAATGATACCCTGGACTCGTCAGGGGAGACCCTACTGGAGGGTCAGTCCACCACAGGGGAGGGGCTGAGGGTGCAGATCAGTCCTGACAAAACCCTTCATATGCCCCACCTCTCAGAGGCCCAAAAGAGGGCAATTACTGGTAGGTAGAAAAAATCATACTGAATAGTGTCAGTTGTGAATGGTTTAGTATGAAATGCTATCATCAGAATAGAGATTAAAAAATAATGAAAATGAATTTCATGATTTTGATTCATATAGTAAAGCATATATCCACAATTTTAAAATAAATGTTCTTCAATAAGAACATGTTCTTTGTAAAATCTTGTTGTTAAAAAATCAAAGAATTTTCTATTTGCAATGAACTTTTTCCCTTATTAAGTGCCTAAGTTGGCATTTTAAATCTGTTTTTACAATAGATCCAACTCCTGAATTAATGGCTCGTCAGAACTTGATGGCTACTGCCAGACAAACAGACAGTCGAATTTCGTTAGAGGGTAGAAGAATGGTCAGCGAAAAGGAGTGGGAACTTTTACAAAAACAGGTAGAAGTCCCGTATGGGGTCTATTTATTTTCATTGCAAATAATGATTGTATAAGGAGGATTATTAGGAATCATCTATTTTTGTCTTATTTTTCAATAAAATGATAAATCATAACCTCCAATGAATTAACGAATAGTTGAATCCACACTTTTCAAAAGTTATGTCCCTTGGCCACCATCTTTGGGGAAAACTCATATAATCCTCACATAGCCTTTGTAGTTTTCTGGTTTATAACTTTGTCATCTGACTGGAAAAATAATGTGCATCTTGTAAAATGATTGCCCCAAGCTGGGGCTACCCATATACTGAAGGAAAAAAAATTAAACACAGTGGATATATCGGAGCACACCCAAATGTTTAGTAGCATAAAGAGGAGAGATGTCATGGCATTCCCTTTTGACCTTTTGGTTGACCCTGCAAAGGGACATAACTATTGCAAGGTGTAGATTGGACTGTACATGACTTGTACATCAGACTTCAGAGAAGAGCAGCTCATATTTTTGTAGCTTGAAAGTCCCCAGATAGAGTAACAGTAGCATTATGATAGTTCCAGATAAACAAGACTACAACATGTGTCAGAACTATGCCTGTAACATTTCAGAACCTGTTTTAGAGAACTCAGATACAAACTTCATGTTAATTAAAATGTTTAATGAAATCTAGCTGATTGAGGCGAGGGAGAAGGCAGGGAGACCGTGTGATATGTGTAATAACTACGAGGCCCAGCTACAGAATGTACAGGACGATTATAAGAAAGAGCAGGTCAAGGCCAAGTCCCTAGAGCGCCGCCTCAACAGAGAGTTACAAACGCTGGAGAACAAACAGAAGTACATCACAGATCTAGAGAATAGTCTCAACAACTCCGCAACAGAGGCTCAAAACCAGGTACACAGGCATTAATTATTATAGGCAAATAGTCAAAAGATAGACAACTTTAATTAGTTATTATAGCTAAATAGTCAACAGATAGCTCCAATTAGTTATCATGTAGCTAAATAGTCAACAGATGACTCCAATTAGTTATCATGTAGCTAAATAGTCAACAGATAGCTCCAATTAGTTATCATGTAGCTAAATAGTCAAAAAGATAGCTTTAAATCGTTTTCATGTAGCTAAATAAACTATATTATAAGGTGTATATGTTAATATGAGAGATTTAATTAAAATCTTGCTTTACAGATTTCCAGTTTAACCACAAAAATCCAGGAATGTGAGCGATACCTGACTGAGGTCAGACAACAGAACACTCAGTCTCAACTCGAACTCAGGGATATGTTGGTGAGTTGAACTCATTTATAAAGTTATACTCATTTAATAGCTCAATATATTGGGGTCGATATGATATGAGTATTTGAGTCGAAATATAATGCATCTAATAATGGCATTGGTTTATTTTTGTAGAAGTCTTTAACCAAAGACAGGGAAACTGTACAAAGAGAGGTGAGTTTGAAAAAAAGGAAAAGCAAATTAATATAAACCTGTAAATATTCATGATAAAACTTGTGAAGAAATCTATTTTATCCATCAGCTAACAGACTGTAAATGCACAAGTGTGAAAAGGCTTCTTTATTTTGAGTAAGAATTAAGCACAATGTGTTTAATTTTCTGATTGTCAGCTTGTCAAGCTTCAAGAAGACAATGATTCTCTGATGGGGAAACACTCCAAGTTTGCACAGCAACTACAGAACGAGGACATCAACCTGCCTAACAACATGGAGGTACCGTACAATCAACAACCCTCTAACTAAATATATGACAGAAGTCATGATTAAGACTCTACCTCAATTTTAAAATAGAATACAATTTCAATATCATTTAAAAATGAATAAGATGTAATGTTGAACTGGTTCTCAGATTTCATTCTATGATGACAGGTGGATAATAAGGTAGTTGTATAACCAGATAGAGCTAGACCTCATCCAAAACACCTCACCGTGCAAAGAATTACACTGTGTAGAATTAAGAACATTACTTCCCTTCATCAAAAAAATGTCACAGCCTTCCTGTATCCTGTTTGTTATTCCACTTTTATCTCTACACTTACCTGCAGTAACTACAATGAAACATTTATATGTCACAAAAACCAAAATAATAAGTAAAAAGACAGCCAATCATTGCACTAGATTAATTTCTCTATGTTTTTATTGAATACATGTACTGTGAGATTTAGAAAGGACAGTAAGAGATGTTAAACCTGTACACGTTTTTCAGGAACTGCAGCTGTTGTTACTGAAATACAGAGAGGAGATCATTCAGGCCAAGGTTGCTAAGGAACACATCGAGGGTTCCCTAAAGAGTGAAAATATGTTCCTGAAATCGCAGGTCCATGCGGAACAACAGGAGAAAAACACTCTAGAGGAGACACTGAATCAGGAAATAGGCAGTCTGCAGGAAAAACTAGGTAACTGTGCAGAATTTTTGTAAACGTACTACATTTGGCGGTGTATTCTTTTTAGCGCTTTTGGCGGAAAGATACTTCCGCTAATTCAAGTACATCGCTAAATGTATTAAACATTGATACATGAATAAGAACATCAAGAAATACGCTAAATCAAATCTATGCTAACATGTAAAAAAAAAAAATTTTCCGCTAAATATCGTACACGCTAAATATAATACCGTATATCAGGTTTTTTCCGCGTCATGATTTTTCCGCGAATCAGAACCTAAATCTGTTTATCAAATTTACGCGAATCAAATTTTCACTATTCCAAAGTCATAGCGAAAATATAATTCACAATTGCCTTTTAAAACCTACGAGGTATGAGAAAAAAACAGTATCTGTTTGAATAATTTTTAATGAAAATTTAAGACAATGAAACGTATTTCCAACAAGTGTCACAACGAATAACTCCTGATTTATATAGAAAATTTTAGACAATGAAACACTTTCTGACAATTCATTGTCAAGATCATTTCACTCGATTCCAAGTACAGATGAAATCCCTGCTTCCTTAAATCCATTTCTCACTATTTCGGGTTTGGTCCTCATATAGTCATACAGCTTTGTCAGCCATTTCGCACCTAATGGCTTCATCCGGGTCAGCGAGAGGTCGACCTTCACCTCGTTTCTGTCGGCAGATTCAGTCAGCTGATTGCATACCTGTGCTGCATACCAGCTTTCAAATTCGTTTTTCAGGAAGGATTTTGCACTCTTGTTAACGCTTAAGTCCATTGGTTGAAGCAAATCGGTGCAATTTGGTGGAATTGTGACGTAAATAAGTCGATTTGAGGAAAGTTTGGCTGTGAATTCCTCCGTAATCTGCCCGCGAAAACAGTCAAAGATTACCAGGGCACGCTGACCAAGTGGCAAATCTAAGTCGTCTTTCACTTTATTTATGTAGGGAAGAATAATTTTGTCAATGTAGTCATTCATTGTCCGACTGTTTGCCCAGTGATTTTCCGATTCCGTTATGTGAAATCCGTCTGGAAACTTGAATTTGGGGTGGCATTGCGTCGTTTTTCCCTGGTAAATTAGTTGGAAGGGAAGGAATGACCCATCTAGAGTTCCAGCGAATGTAGCTGTAATGCAAAAATAATTATTTTCAGAGATCCAAACAATCATTGATCGGTATAGATCAGGTATAATTAGACTTCAGTTTAAGCAAGGAACATGCCAGCAAATGTAGTTGTAATGCAAAAATAATTATCGATAATTATTTTCAGAGATTCAAACAATTATTGATTGGGTATAATTAGACTTCAGTTTAAGCAAGGAACGTAACTAATTTGATTTTTAAATAAACAAAGAGGCTTACATACCTGTTATCTGGCATTTGTCCTCCGATCCGGCTATTTCTACCCTCTTTGAGCCCTCTTCAGCCATGGTCCACTGCGATACTGGGACCACATGTAGACCAGTCTGATCCCAGTTAATGATTAGCGAAGGGGGGATTCCATACTCTCTGACACGACTTTGAATTTTTTTAAGAAATTTGGATTTCTCATCCTCGAAATTTTCTACCCTAAGAACTTTTTTTGATGTAGTTCCCTTGCGTTTTACTAAGTCCATGCGGTTCATAAGGGAAAGGGCCCAAGCACGTGTAATTTCAATGTGTCCCCCATTTTCCTGTAGAAGAGAGCGATCCATGGAAAGGACTACCCCACGTCCAGCGGCTTTCACTATAGCAGTATTGACGACCCCGCCAGATTTTCTAATTGTAGAAACAAAACGCTTCACTTTATTGTCTAGCTCATCACCAAGTAACAGTTTTCTTCCTCTTTTCTTCGGAGTCAATACTTCGGATTCTATCTCACTGTCTGTATCAATCAACTTGCGCTTTACCGACGATTTTACATGGATCAGATAGTCCTTTTTGAAACCCCTAACGGTACTTTCATTCAACTTTCTTTCCAATAAAAGTGAAAATTTTCTGGCAGCTGCAGTAGGGCTGTTTTCTGCTGCATATTTACCAATTTCAAAACGCTGTTTAGGAGAATACGTCCCATAATTTCCCCGTCGCTTTGGCGTTGATTGGCCCTGTTCTATTTCTTTCTCTACCTCAGCGGTGACTTCTTTAAATTCGTCATTGTTAGAAACATTCTTATTACTTACAGTGATGTATCTTAGAATAGACATCTTAAAGCATTGCCTTACTATTCACGACTGGTTTTTTTTTTTATGAAGGAGGGAAACAAAACACACAGAATACAACTAACTGAACACCGTTCACTGTACATTTACTTACCTGTTCACCTTATAAGCAAAGAAAGATAACTCTAATACATAATCATAGCACTGTACAGTAACTTACATGTCCACCTTTATAAGCAAAGAGAGATAACTCTATTACAAAAACAAAACTTTGTATCAAATTTCCGCTGATTTATTTTCCGCGTTTCGGAAATCGTCGCGAACAAAGCGGAAATTGGATACACGCGGAAAAAACCTGATATACGGTACATTTACAGGAATGTCAGACTGCTCGGCCCAACGACTCCTCGGCCCATCGATACCTCGGCCCATTGACATCTCGGCTCCGACGGCTCGGCCCAAATTAGAAGACACCTCGGCTCACATAAAAGACACCTCGGCCCAACCAGAAATATAATTTTGATTAAATATATTTATTATTTATGCTATTATATATTTATGAAATGAAAATGAAAATAAATTTGATACATAAACAATCTTTCAAGACGGCAAATTGACCGTAATTAAAGAAAGACAACCCATTTGTAACTTGATTAAGTGCTAATCATTAAACAATCAAGAAGATGCGGCGCATCCTTTAGAGTCTCAAGCGCGTGTCATATGGGATGGTGGTTATTAGGAGTTAATTACGTTAATTTCTTGTTGATATTTTTTAAATTGATTTGAATTTTTTAAAAAATATAAGTTTTTAAAATTAAACAGTAAAATATATATGTATCAAAAATAAACAAATCAATACATCTTGTAGACTAGGACATAAACTTCTGTGTAGACCTGTTGGTTTACACATTATTATTATTAGTGAATTCAACTGTAAAATGCACTGCAGTAGACCAATTTAGTCAGTCAGTCGGGAGACTCCGAGAGGGCAACCAAATATTTTTTGAAGATGGCTAATAAATATATCAATAATGTATAATGTTACATCGTAATAAGCAACAAAGTATGTCAATAAATAAATAGACCTGTCAGATGTACCTCCCAATCAATGGATTGTAATTCGATGTTGTTCTTTGGTTTGTTCGAAAATACTGAAATTATCTGCCTCTGTTTATCGTATATCTATGGTAAACGTATAGTGATTAATTATACATACATTAACATTACCAAAGAAAATACAGTCTAAATTAAAAATTAAACTAATTTAAACAAATTCAATTAATTTTATTCCTTGGGCCGAGCTGTCTTCGGTATGGGCCGAGGTGTCAATGATTTTGAGCCGACCTGTCAGGGCCGAGGTGTCAACCAGCATGGGCCGAGGTGTCGTTGGGCCGAGAAGTCTGTCTACCCATTTACAGTATGTAGATGTGCTGGAAAATAAGAGGGCATTCTTTGTCTTATTGGATTCCCTTCCAGTCAGGTGTACTTAACAGCTTTGATATTCTTCATGCTCAATGTGATTGTTTGTTGCAGCTGTCCAAGAGAGTCTGAAGTCAGAGCTAGAGAGGGAGGGAGCTGTGAGGGCTGAGTTTGAGGGGAAATACAAGGAGATAGAGCAGTCATTGAAGAGTATACAGGCCAAAAATAAACAGCTGATATCTGGTCTACAACAACAAGTGGAGGAACAGTCCAATGCTAGGGTAAATATAACAATACAGGCCAAAAATAAACAGCTGATATCTGGTCTCAGGCAACAAGTGGAGGAAAAGTCTAATGCTGGGGTAAATATAACAATACAGGCCAAAAATAAACAGCTGATATCTGGTTACAACAACAAGTGGAGGAACAGTCCAATGCTGGGGTAAATATAACAATACAGGCCAAAAATAAACAGCTGATATCTGGTTACAACAAAAGTGGAGGAACAATCCAATGCTGGGGTAAATATAACAATACAGGCCAAAAATAAACAGCTGATATCTGGCGTACATGTTAACTCTACTGATTTAGGCGGGAGTCTACCGCTTTTTCACTCCATCTCCCGCCTACCGATTTAATTCAGAAATCTACCGCTTTTCTACAAAAGTTGCGTCTAAAGTATTTTTGGTTCGCTTGGGTATCCATTTTTGAAGCCACTCTCATAAAATCTCGTTAGATATCGCGTGATTTGACTCAGAAGCATACAAACGCTTTTTTTGTATCGATGTGTACACAGATTTCAAGCACAAATTTGACAATGACAACAGCACAAGATTACCAGTGATTACATTGGTTACGATAAATTTAGTCAACATCACTGCCATGAAAAAGGAGATACAGCTTTTAATAATTAGATGAAAACGTTTGGCATCGTCTATAAAAGCACAGGAGCTCACTATTTTATCAATAAAGTCAATAGAAATCACTCGATTGACCAAGTCATGGGGCACATCTCTACTTTCGTTTTCGATCATCGCGGGAAATCTGATTTATTTAACGAAAGATAAGCACTTGTTTTAGATATAGTTTAAACCATATCATCATTTGTTTTCTTTAACAACTGAATGAACATTCAAATTTATTGCTTCTAGGCTATATTGGCAAAGATCACTCTTCAAAAGGCTAAGTTAAACAGCCAATCTAAGCAAAATGATGAGCATGAAAAATATTTGAATTTGTACAATTTATGTCAAACTTAAGATGCTTCTGTCTTCTTCTTTGCAGTTGATATTTAAGATTAATTATTGTTGGTTTCATTTAAGGCCTATACATGTATATATTACATGAAATATGTCGGTAATCCAAGCGTAAAACAACGCACACGCAATGCTACCGCTTTTGAGGTCTGAATCTCCCTATTTTTCATCACAATAGGTTAACATGTATGTATCTGGACTCCACTAACAAGTGGAGGAACAGTCCAATGCTAGGGTAAATATAACAATTTTTGCAATTCAGGCCACGAACAAATAGGTTGATGTCTGGTTTATGATAGAGTTATAGAGACAGCCCAACAATAGGGAAAATAAAGCACTTGAAATGATATACAGTTGATATCATGTCTCTGACAGAAGTGTTAAATTGCTTGATTAAACTGGCAGATTAAAGGCTTAACATTTAGCAAGTCCCTGTGCAGGAATTGGATATACAATAGTCCAGTGTTTGATTGGAGACACTGGTAAGTAATATGATCAGTGTACTTTGCATTGTATTAAAAAAAATATTAACATTAAAAGTTTTCCTTTTCAGACACAGTTGGAGAATGACCTCCAAAAACAAAAGGCCAAAGTTCAGTCTCTTCAGATTGACCTTGATAACAGTGAGGCTGTACAGAGGGACTTTGTCAAACTCTCCCAGTCTCTCCAGGTAATGAGCATACCATACACTTACAGTACCGTACACTTACCAAACCATAAACTTACAAAACCATACACTTATCATACCATACACTTACCATCCAATCGCTTACCATACCATGCAGTTACCATACCATACAAACTAACCATACCATACACTAACCATACCACACTCATCATACACTTACCATACTAGACACTTACCTTATAAGTTACTTTATATACTGTACACTTACAATAATACTTACCAAACTATACACTTACCATAGCATACACTTACAATACCATAAACCATACCATACACACTAAACAAACCATACACTTACCATGCCATCGCTTACAATACCATTCACTTACCATAGCACACACTTACCAGATCATACACTTATCATACCATTTATCATTCACTTACCATAGCATACACTTACCATACTATCACTTACCACATCATACACTTATCATACCATATACTTACCATACCATACACTTAACATACCATATACTTACCATATCATACACTTAACATACCAAAGACTTTCCATATAAGTCACTTACCCAGAATACACTTATCATACTGCTAACCATACCATACACTTATCACACTAACCATACCATACACTAAACATGCCATTCCATACACTTACTATACCATACCCTAACTTTACCATACACTTACCAAAGCATACACTTACTATACCATAATCTAACTTTACCATACACTTACCATAGCATACACCAACCATACCATACACTAACCATATAAGTCACTTACCAAACCATACACTTGTCGTACCATACTTAACATATGCATTTATATCCAATAATAACCAAATGTAAAAGTCGTTTATTTGTTGTTAAAGTCAGTGCTTCTTCCAAAAGTCCAATGAAAAAAAATGTTGTCAAAACAAAATAAAAATAATTTTCATTACTCAACAGTGATTAACAAAGAGTACACAATACAATTGCTTGAACTGGAATACTGCAATTAATTTACAGATACAGCTGGAAAAAATTCGTCAAGCGGAGAATGAAGTACGATGGCAGCATGAGGATGATATAGAGGAGTGTACAAACTGTAAACAGGCATTTAGTGTAACAAAGAGAAAGGTAAATACTGTGAACAGGCATTGAGTGTAACAAAGAAAAAGGTAAATACTGTAAACAGGCATTTAGTGTGACAAAGAGAACGGGAAATACTGTGAACAGGCATTGAGTGTAACAAAGAAAAAGGTAAATACTGTAAACAGGCATTTAGTGTGACAAAGAGAACGGGAAATACTGTGAACAGGCATTGAGTGTAACAAAGAAAAAGGTAAATACTGTAAACAGGCATTTAGTGTGACAAAGAGAACGGGAAATACTGTGAACAGGAAGATAAAGGTACAAACTAGGGATGTCAAAATTGTCAATAATTGATATTCGAATATTCGATAGAAGTATTCGAATATATTCGAATATTCGATAAAATAAATACATCTTGCATATGTATTTTCACTCTCCTGTCAAGTAGTATAGGTTTTGTGGCATTATTTTGGAATGAAAACTCGTTTAGAGTTCGGTAAATGCAATGCAAATATTTTTTTAAAATTATTGAATATTACATAATTTATATCCAAAATGTAATGATTGTTTTTTGAAAATTCAAAGATTCTTTAATTAGTATGTTCCAGATCAATTGATCGTCTTACTAAAGTCTACACCGATAACTCCTACAAACTTATACTAAGCAGAACAACTGATGTATCTAACGGTGAAGTATTAAAAGCAATTACTTTTTTCTAATTATAATTTCCTGATAATGATTTTAACGATATTTACATAAACAAAGGGTCCGTGTGTTTACTGTAAAACTGTGTCCTTACAACAACACAAGCTGATTGTAGGTATTGGAGGTACTATTATACCACTAATTAAGTGAATAAATAAATAAATTAATCTGATACACTCTTCACACCTTCAAGGTAATCCAAGAGGAGTGTTTTTTTTATTTTGCACAAACCTGATTCAATTTCTAATAAAACTTGCCAAATTTTTCTCTCTTTTTAATACTTGTATATTTAAAAACGAATATTCGAATCATGAATTTATATTCGAATATCAACTCATCGAATGAATATTCGAATATTCGTTGACATCCCTAGTACAAACTGTAAAGAAAAGAATTTAGTGTTACAAAGAGAAAGAAATATACAGTAAACAGACATTTAGGGTTACAAAAAGAAAATATATTTTATAAAAAGAGGTATGGATTTAAATACTTTAGTTACTTTGTTGACACACACCTATTTTATCTTTTTTTGACTTTAGAGTAAATAGAGACCACAACTACCCAGTACCTTACAGGAACCTTTGCACATGTACAGAACGATAAACCTTTGTGACATTTTCTATACTTTACATACTTATACAGATGACAGATTGCATTTCTTTTCTTTCATTGACATTGTACTTTTCTGTTTACAGCATCACTGCAGGCATTGTGGTAAAATCTTTTGTTCGGACTGTATATCTAAGACAGTGAATAGTGGCCCTAGTAACCGACCGTTCAGAGTGTGTGACATTTGCCACACAATCCTTGTCAAAGACGCTATGCCATATTTCAGCACTGAGCCACCTAGCACGCCAGACTAGACAGAGTGGTCTACCCCTGAGGCTGTGTGGGGTTTATTGTATACCCTTGTTGTTATTGCATTATTTATCTACAACCACAAGCAAGCTACATGATCATTTATGAGTGAACGCTTATTTGCATTTTTAGAAGAAGAAGTGAAAGTAGTAGGGGATCCATTGTGTGGAAGTAAAAGTATGTGATCTTTTGTATAGGTGTAAAATTTATAGGTCTGTTGTGTAGAAGGCAAAGTATGAGATCTTTTGGATAGAAGTGAAAGTTATGAATCTTTTGGATAGAAGTGGAAGTCATGAATCTTTTGGATAGAAATTATTGTGTAGAAGTGAAAGTATTGGTTGATTGTCTAAAGCAATATGAGCTGCATTTTTGAAAATTTTATTTTGCTGTTAGAATGTGTTAAAATGATAAATTTGTATTTAACTTAAACATTTATGATCAATTTTACTAAAATAAAGCAAAAGAAAGACTTCTATATACAATCCAATACACAGATTTACATAAGAAATCATTATTGTACAGGAGGACAGTTATGTAATTTTGATTCAAAGGAAGCTTACAAACAGTTCTTCCAGCGCAACTTTGAACGACAGAAGTTTATTAACATTATTTTTTTCTCTCATTGAAATAGTTATTTACAATTTTACAACAAACAATTCTGACATCAAAGTTACAGCTCATATTGCTTTAAGTATGGGATCTACTTGTAGATATGAAAGGATGATTGAGATATATTATGTAGAAGTGAAAGTATGGAGTAAATGCGAAAGGATCTACTGAGTAGAAGTGAAAGGATATAGGATCTATTTATGGAAATGAAAGGATATCAATTGTTTGAAAGGATGAGATTTATTGCATTAAGGATGTTCGATCCTGCGATTTTGAGCATGTGTTTTGATCAGGTCCTTTATTTATAAAATTCTGCATCATTTTTAAGTTCTAACATTAAATCTGAATTCTACAGTGCCAATTTAACTATATTCAAAAAAATGCGATTAAATTCCTTTCAAGTAGAATTAAACTAGGGACTATATTTTGTAGCGGAAGGTTTTTTAGACGAAAATGATCAGTTTTTCCATTTTGAACTATAACAGTACTGTTAATTTTGGATTCCTATTTTTCCATCCTGGTTGCACACAAAGCTGTTTTTTGCAGTGAAATGGGTTATGCTGGTTCTGAAATATCTATTAAATTATTTCTTATGAATTCTATCAACAAAGTGTGACAAATATAGTAAATATATTCTGAAAATCCGGGAAAAAATTTAACCAATTTCAATGTAAATTTGACACTTTTTTAGTAATATCTGAAAATTTACAGCATATACCCCCACTTTTGATGTTCTTTTCTAAATATTCAAGATAAATTTGACCTATTTGCTTAAAATCAGAAAAAGTTTAAGACTTTAAAATAATTTTCTTGCTTATTAAATTTTCAATGCCAGAAAAATCACTTTTTACTAGTGCAGAAAGGTCAAATAATTGATTATTTGAAGCAATTTGAAACTTTTTCTTAGTCACAATTTTTAAGTGTCTTTTTTAAACAAACATAGAGTTCATTTTGTTTCATGCTTTAATTGGATAAAAATATTGGAGGGAAAACGTTAAAAATTTAATTTTAATAAAGACACAAATTTCAGTGCAAAAAGGTCATATGAAATGTACTGTAGCGCCAAAAGAAGCGTATTGACCCCCATTTTTTGAATTGAATTTTAATTAACCTATGTATATAGAAACTAAAAATATACTTGGCAAAAAAAGTTTAAGACTTTAAATATCAGGATCGAACGTCATTAAATTGAATAGATGGGATCTATTGTATAAAACTGAAAGGATGGGATCTATTGTATAAATCTGAAAGGATGGGATCTATTGTATAAAAGGGAAAGGATGGGATCTATTGGGTACAAGTGAAGCTATGGCTAGGTATGAATAATGATTTTATGAACTTTCCCATATAGGTCTGTTAATTCTTTTTAATATGTAGGGAATATTAATCATTGGCACAAAGGAGAAAAGATTAAGGGGAGAAAAGTAAAGAAAAGTTTTATGAGTGTAACATAGTCTTTAAAGAGCTCTTTCATTTATGTAAAGTGCTGCTTCATATTTTCATTGAATTTGTTGTGTATAAATTTTTGGATGTCAGTAAACTCAGAGGTGAAATCCTAGCGATTGATAACCAAAAGCACAGATTACAGAACATAAGATCTATGTTTAATATTTATTATGGTGTGTGTGTGTCTGATTTTGATGTGAATATGAGAGTAGGAGTTTGAATTTTAGCTGGAGAGTTGATTGAGGGGACAAATATGAATGAAATTTCAATCATGTTATTATTGTGTGCAAGAGGGAGTCATTATGTCCTATGTATTTAAGTATATGTACAAGTCTGTACTCTTATTTTAGTTACAACATCTTCAATTCTGTTTGTATCTTTCTATTAGAAGAAAAAAATAATACATGTACATACAGATAAGTAAAAATATGTACACTAAGAATATAGTCAGTTTTACCAGGAAATAATTTCTTTTTTTTTCCTGATTAAACAAAAGAGATTTCAAGCTACAGATTCAGATACTGTCTACTGAAACTGAAATGTTTTTATTTATTTTATTTGATGTAAACACAGACACAAATAACTTAGGATGCATTCATTTTGTTGTTATGTTTTGTTTAGATTTGCTGTGATATCAATGCATATTAATTAATGACATTATTCAGATCTGATAGTGATGCAGTAGTTATAGGGCAATTCTCAGTGTGACTATTATTGACTTGTAAATTTCAATAGTTTTGAATCCTTAAAAATCATTAAAATTGTTTAAAATGTGTAAATTTTTACTTTTTCTGAAGGATTTTGAAATTTATAATCATGTCTTTAATAAGTAGAATGTGAAAAATGATGGGAGATTTATCATTAATTATATTCTGTATACCTTGGTTCTACTGTAGTGACGCAGTACACATAGCTTACGCGTACAGTGTAGCCTATAGTGTTTGAGATGATAGATAAGTGTTGATGATAACAGGATCAATGTTTTGCTGTCTCTTTAACAGGCTTCAGGTCACCAACCTATGATCACTGCCAAAATAGAATTCTAAATAAGCATATGATATAGATACATGTACACAACTGTACATGTACAAAATTCATTATGATATCCTTTACTCTGGTTTTAAAGATATTGTTATAATTACATGTCAGAAGTTATTTGTGTTTGTTATAGAACATGTTAACACAGTAAGCATAGAAATATACATATATTTCTCTACATAATTAAAATTATGTACTTTTAAACAATGTTGAAAGGTAACCTTTGCATGTATCATTTCCATGGTCCAATCCTTTACTTGACCTTTTTTATGTACATGCTTGATTTCTTTAAATGCATAAAGAATTTCATTATACTTAGTGATGACACTTTGTAAAAAGTGATTAGCATACACATTTATCAACAATGCTTCAATTAATCAACAGGTTTTTCATGGATTTTGAACATTTGAGGACTTGCGTAGTATTGTATAAAAAAAAGGGTTTTGTTCGGGAAGCCTTCGTTGTAGACTTAATGTCTTATGGCAGAGAGAACAAAACAGTCTAGTCACATTTAAAGGGCACCCAGAGAACATCTGGGGCTTACACACAGAAACTCATGTACATGTATAGATGATTCTTAAATCTACTGGAAGTAGAGGAAATAGCTTCAACACTTCTCTTCATTGTACTTGACTGTTATATAACACTTGATCTTGTTTTATAATTATTATAAAGGTGAAATATAAAGTGGAAATGAAACCAAGTTCTTGTTTGTCTTTTTTGTAACTCACCTGAGCCAATTGTTTGTTATGAAAATGTCTGGCATGTGTCTGACATATTACATTGCTTGCAAATTTTGACCATAAATTCAATTTCATCTCCTAACCTGTTAGGCTATGAGTTAAACTTATCTTCTTATGCAAATAAATTTAACTTTCAATTGGTGTAAAAATCTATAAAATTTTACCCCTTCTTGTTCAAGCTAGTTTTTGATTTCAATAAATTTTAGAAAACATTGGGATACACAATTGGGTCTCTAATTATAAATTTATATGTATTATTTATTAAGGAAATAAAATGTTAAACATTACAAATACATGACGGAGCAAAATTGGAAATATTAGGAACATGTATGAAAATAGCCTCAGAACTCAAATAATCATATAGTCAAAATGCATAATTTATTCTTTGAACATATCTTTTCTGTACATGAGTACTAGTATTTATCAGAAAAGGTATAGTGCATGCTAGGTTATGATGAGGGAGTTTGCTTCTGTCAAAGTTATGATATCCTTGGTCATTAAGACGCAGTGAAACTGGAGTTGATGTGGGACTGAAATAGAAGTGAAGTTATCCCCCTTTGTTATTTTCTTATGATCAGGTCTGACAATAAATTAATGTAAAGAACAGCAAAATTGAGGTAAAGAATCATACAAGAATTTTTAATACATGTATGTAAATAATACAAAGAGTCTCATATATTTAATAATTACGTTGAAGTATATAAAAATGACAAATGATTGAGATTCAAAGATAATTGAATATATAAATGTTTACTGAATTTTACTCAATGATCTTGCTGTTTGCTTTATCTGTTAAACAATGTGTTCTATCATTATTATTATTATTATTTTTTTTTTTTTAATACTTTTAAGGCCTAAACAATTTTACATTATAACCTAAGCTACTGTATAGTCTGTAAATTCGTTTTTTATTTTTAGTTTGTCTATCACCTCTAACTTTATTTTTACAGCACTACATAGAATAGATTTTACTAACTGTCTTTTCATCACTTTATTTCTTTTATTTTTTAATTTTTATGTCTTTTAAAACCACCTTCTCGGGTGCTCCTTATACATAGGAGGGAACTCCATAACTGAACTGAACTGAACTATGGAATGTAAATAGCACTGGTTTATGTAGAATTGATTTAATTATAATTACCAGACTTTATAATAGTGTTGTTTTCATGTGACCTTTTAGGCCCTTGGGCCTCTGATTTATCATTACTCTGGACAATTCAAATGTATGTTTAAAAATTTTGTGTCAATGAATTTATTGCCTTTACAGTAAAAAGAGATTCACCCCCATTCCCCAACCTAAATCAAGATCCGTCCCTTAATTACATTCATGACATTCAGCTGCTCAACAGCTGTTCTACATGTTCTAAACAGTGCTAAAGTAGCCAAGCGAACTAAGATAAAATCTTTGATTTATTGTGTGTGTTTTTTTTAACTGTTTAAATTTAGTTTTATGTGTTGTATGATTCAACTTCTTTTACGAAATGCTTTTGTGGGAAAATAAATTTTACTCATTCATAAAATTTGCCCGGAAGTAAAAATCTGACTGCGCAACAACGTTCGCGCAACATATTTGTGATGTTTGTCTTCCGCTTTAGACAGTGCAGGTTTACGTGTTTACAGACCGACAAGGTACAATGAACAATGAAGTCATCCGTGGATGAATGTGTTCAGTCATCAGCGAAAATGAGACCCGAATCTTAATGGCCGCCCATAACGGAGAATTAGGAGGGTATTTCTCTTCCTCCCGGGCCGTGGGGTGGTGCGAATTTTGTGAAAATCAAGCCACCACTGCCTCGGAACAGTTCGTCCGCAGCTTCCTCGATTTTCAAAGGAGTCAATACACTTCCGCAGAATCTGTACCCCGCGACCCTGTTATGTACGCAAGAAAGTTTGTAGAGTACTTTCTTCAACATTTTGAGCGGCAGATCAAAAGGACTTCCTACTACTTGGAGTCGCAGACACAAATCAAGTCCACGTTCCAGGGGAGTGACCCCCTCTTTTCAGGACTATCTAATGAGCATCATAATCTGTCACGAGAATCCAGTTTTGCCTCACAGACTTCACGATCTCCCACCAATGGTAGTTCCCATACCCCCATAGTGGATGATTATTCTGACAATGTGACAGCAGTCAACACATCAGTTACTTCCCCTGATATAAAGTCTAAACACTCCCCCAAAGAGAAGGGCTTTCTTCGTAGATTTTCATTTCGTAAACATAAACGATCAGGTAAACACAGTGGTGATAATGTTGATTTAACAGCGAATCACAGAAAGTTTAAAAACAGTCAGCGGAGTAAATCGAATGTCAAGTCCGAATGTCATGGTGATGTGAAGCGCGAGAGTGTGGTGAACGTTCTGACAGGTGAAGATTCCAAGGGGAAGTCACGATGGGAAAAAACGAGACTGGTGCTCAAAGAAGTCAGCGGAGGTTCCCTATTGGAATTCTACTCACCTCCAAAGGTCTGTATCAAGTGGAAATGGAGGTGATTTTTATTTGGTATCAATAATGTATTCTGTAAGAAGCAATTAATTAATTCTCTTCTTTAAGTTGATTCTTTTTATGTTTGTTTAGATAGATATAAAAATAATTTATTATTCTTAAAGTATTTTGCAAATAATACTAATGTTTCTTTGATATTGGATGTTTTTGTGAACCATCTGGCCAGTTAGTTCATCAAGGTTCATGGATGTTTGTACCAAAAGGGCAATGTTCATTATAATAGTAGATTGTTCTCCTGCATCACATTCATCTCATTGGGAGGATTCAAGAACAACAACCTTATACATCATATGAGCATGTATTTTTTTTATAGGAGTTGATTACAGTCTGTTTAGAACACCTTTTTATCTGATAACACTTAAAAGTTTTCACCAGGAAGTGATAATGCCTTGTTTGCATTTGTCAACATTAATTTGTTAGTACTGGTTGCCTCTTATTATTTTGTAGTTGTTATAGATGTGTTTGTACTGGTGGGTTCTATTTATTTTTTAGTTGTTAAAGATAAAAATTGTCATGTTCATTTCACAATATACGTTGCAGTCCTTCTCTAAATTTTTTTTTAATTAAGTTTGCTTCCTTGCATACATAATAAGGAAACATTTTAAACAGTTAACGTGGATTCAGTCAGCCAATTGTGATATAGTATCAGTGGTGTCCCAGAGTTCAACTGAAAGTAGTTCAGTATTTTACATAATTGCCACTGTTCACTTTCTCCCCAGTACATTGATATTCTCATACAGGTATTGGAAATTCACAGGGACATGCTTTTATGCTGTCCATCAGAATAACTATCTTATGCTTTTGGGCTGTAATCAATTTCTCTTGTATATCTTAATTTCTACAGTAAAACCTTATTTTCTTAAAAACAAGTAAACATTTGTCTTGTTTTTTTTAAAGAAGGGGGAAGTTTTATGAAAAAAAAATTTTTAGTTTGGCTAAACATGCTAAATAGAAGGTTTTGTACAGGGTATTGATCCTTGAATGGCTTTAATATTGACAGGCAGATCACAGGTGCAGTGATAGCCTATGCTAAAACATAAGTTCTTCCTTTGCTTATTTTGTGGAATGTTGTCAGAACAAGTTCTTCTGACAATCTCTGAAGGGAGCTGAGATTCACTGGTTACATGTAACCATGCTTTCTTTCTCAGAAGGTTTTGTTGGATATTGCTTTTCATCATGTCTAGTACAAGAACATCACCGATGTCATATAATAGCCTCATTGACAGACAGGAGGGGGTAGAGTAGAGTTAGAAATTAATGTCTACTGGTAATCTTTTCTGGTCTGTTATCAACTGATTTATTAAGTACCAGACTTCTGTTATGAGACCTCCCAATATCCATACAGTTACACCAGATGATACTGATGGAGTTAAGAGTAGACATTGAGTTAAGGTCTGTGTAATTATATCAGTATTCCAGTATATTGTGATTCCTTTACAAAAAATATTGTATTGGGATACATTTTTTTCAGTACTAATATACCGGCAAAATGCTTAGATTTGGAGTTTTTAAAGTAAAACTTAAGATTGTCCAGTCCATTTTCAATCATGCCAAAGAGTACCCCGGTAAGATGTTTTTGCATTTAGTTTTGCATTTAGTTGCAAAACTGTTTGGAAATCAACAAGAGTATTTTGTAATAACACACTTATTGAAGACACTCAGCTTACAAATGGAAGCTAGTTAATTAAATAAGAAAAGATCATTTTAACTGTTTTTGAAAACATTACATATTACTATAAAGTTAAAAATATCACAGTATATCACTATTATACGAAATTCCCAGCCAATACCCAACCCTAACTTTGCATTCAGATAATCAACTCATTTTTTCTGTGTCGTGTCAACTTGTAACTTCTGTTCCTTGGACTCTTCACACAAATTGTTGACTACTGCATTAAACTTTTATGGTTTAAAATTAATTGACTGTTAAAGTCCTTTATTAACTTAAAAGGTTTTAAAGTTATACAGTGATGAACTCTTTCTTTAAGAGCATGTATCTGTAATGGTTTGTTTAATGCATTCCTTAGAATCAAGCTTGAATTGCCAGCAAATGATGCACTCAAATAGAAGCATGAAACCAGGTTATCTGATGTAGGCTAGGAGTGCAGTACAGAACACCTTCTCCATGTTCTTGTGGTTTTTATGCATGAATCGGCCAGAATTTGTGTGATAATTCAATGAGCTTGCGGAAAAGATCAATTCAAATTTTGTCTTACAACATCTTGAGTGGTAACCCTAGCTAATAGGCTCTTTAAATTAAGATTTTGTTTGTTTTCTCTGCACTCTTTCAAGTATCCATGCATAGATGTACTGAGGTGGTGCAAATTCATTAGATTTATTTTCTTAAAGTGAATGGGTATATCCATGCATGGATGGTTACATTTTTGTGAATGAATGGAGAATTTGCATCGGTGCACATGCACTTTGGATACCATTGATGTATTGTATGGCAGCTGTT